ATCCATCCATCCATCCATCCATCCATCCATCCATCCATCCATCTATCTATCCCTACCATCCATCCATCCATCCATCCATTTATTTATCTATCTTACCCATCCTTGTATTAAATTTATATGCCACCCATCTGTATATCAGATGACTCAGTGTGGCTTACCCCACATGGAAAAAAACCTCAACAATATAAAATATAAAACATTAGAACACTATCTATTAAAATTTACAAAAATATAGCTAAGGAAAGAATCAATACATAACAGAGTGGAGGTGGAGTCCTCTTTTAATCCACTAACCACCTCCAGTATTGAACGGACCAGTCAGGGCTCCAGGCCAATCGGCAGAGCCAGGTTTACAGGCCCTTCCGGAAAAGTGGGGGGGCAGATCTCGCCCTGAGGAGTGGGAGCCACAGCAGAAAAGGCTCTTCTCTTGGAGCCCACCAGCCGGTCTTCCTTGACTGATGGGATCCAGAGTTTGCACCTTCTACCCTTATGTCTGCATACAGATCATCCTCGACTTATGACCACAATTGAGCCCAGAATTTCCCCTTGCCACGCAAGAGAGTTTGTCAAGGGCCGAATCCTCCTGAAGTGATATGGTTCACCCTATCTTGCCGTCTGCCTCCTATTTAGGTTTTGCTACGGGTGTAAAATCGATTGCACAGAAGAAAGAGCTCTGATGGGGAACGCAAACCTGGCTGTCGACTGGGATCCCACCGCCCTGCACCTCCGCTACCAGACCTCACAAGAACGGGTAAAGAAACCAAAACCTACGGGATAATCCTAACCCTAACCCTGTTCCTTCTTATGTCCGCATACAGATCATCCTCGACTTATGACCACAATTGAGCCCAGAATTTCCCCTTGCCATGCAAGAGAGTTGTCAAGTGAGTTTTGCCCCGCTTTACGGCCATTCTCACCACAGTTCTTTAAGTGAAATCACTGCAGCTGTTAAATTAGTAGCAGGGTTGTTAAGTGAATCATGGACACTTATTGACTTCTCATGTCAGAAGGTCGCCAAAAGGAGATCACACAACCCCAGGACACTGCAACCGTCGTACAAATACATGCCAGTTGCCAAGCATCTGAATTCTGATCATCTGATCCTAGGAATGCCGCGACAGTCGTAAGTGTGAAAAGCGGTCATCATCAGTCACTTTTTTTCAGTTCCATTGGAACTTTGAATGGTCACTAAACAAGTGGTTGTAAGTCGAGGACTACTTGTATAGGTTTACAGACCACAAAGTGAAATCCAATTGCATCCAATCCTTTATTTCCTTACACCTAACGCACGGACTCTTGCTATAACCTGCTAGATACAGGTAGTCCTCGACTTAGAACACTTCATTTAGTGACTGTTTAACATTACAATGGCACTGAAAAATGGGACTTATGACCATTTTTTTCACCCTTAGGACCGTTGCAGCATCCCCATGGTCACATGATTTACATTCAGATGCTTGACAACTGACTCATGTTTGTGACGGTGGCAATATCCCCGGGGTCCCCTTTTGCGACCTTCCGACAGGCAAAGTCAATAGAAAAACCAAATTCACTTTTAACAACCGCGTTACGAACTTCACAATTGCAGCGATTCCTTTAACAACTGTGGCAAGAAAAGATTGTAAGAGGGGGCCAAATTCACTTCCCAAATGTCTCACTTAGCAACAGAAATGCTGGGCTCCATTGCGGTTGTAAGTCGAGGGTTACCTGTATACCCTGAGAGGTTCTCTCTCCAACCTGGGCAACTTCGTGACTTGTGGACTTCAACTCCCAGGATTCCTCAGCCAGCATGGAATTGAAGTCCACGAGTTGTCAAGTGGCCAAAGTTAAGGGACCTCTGAAATAGGTTTTCCTCACAAAAGGACATGGAGGCTCGGTGGCTAACACGCTGAGCTTGTCGATCAGAAAGGTCGGCGGCTCGAATCCCTCGCGCCGCGTAACGGAGTGAGCTCCCGTGACTTGTCCCATCTTCTGCCAACCTAGCAGTTCGAAAGCACGTAAAAAAAATGCAAGTAGAAAAAATAGGGACCCCTTTGGTGGGAAGGGAACAGCGTTATGTGTGCCTTCAGCGTTTAGTCATGCCGGCCACGTGACCACGGAGACGTCATCGGACAGCGCTGGCCCTTCGGCTTTGTAACGGAGATGAGCACACCGCCCCCTAGAGCCAGAAATGAGTAGCGTGTATGTGTGAGGGGAGCCTTTACCTTTACTTTTACACAAAGGACTCAATGCTGGAGAATTTCTTCCTTGAGAGGGACTGAGGGATTCTGAGCATGAATGAGAAGAAAGGGGAGGGGGGGGTTGCTTTATCCCACAGAGGAAGCCCCTCCAGAAAACTCCCCCTCACCCTTCGGTTCCCTTCCTGTCTCCAGATAGCAGAGGAGCACAGAAGCGTGGAGCAGAGCCAGCGTGCTCAGGCCGAGCCCATCAACCTGGATAGCTGCTTGCGGGCCTTCACCAGTGAGGAGGAGCTGGGCGAAGATGAAATGTACTATTGTTCCAAGTGCAGGACCCACTGCCTGGCCACCAAGAAGCTGGACCTGTGGAGGCTGCCCCCGATCCTGGTAGGCCGGCAGATCGTCTCTTTTGTGCCTTCAGCCAGGCCAAGCATAGTTTCTGACAAGGATTTCCTTGTTCCTTTCCTTTCTTCCCCTTCCCCTTCCCCTCCTTCTCTTCCCTTCCCCTCCCCTTCCTTTCCCTTCCCTTCCCTTCCTTCCCTTAGCTTCCCTTCCCCTCTTTCTCTTCTCTTCTCTTCTCTTCTCTTCTCTTCTCTTCTCTTCTCTTCTCTTCCCTTTTCTTTTCCTTCCTTCCTTCCTTCCTTCCTTCCTTCCTTCCTTCCTTCCTTCCTTCCTTCCTTCCTTCCTTCCTTCCTTCCTTCCTTCCTTCCTTCGAACAAGGAAGCCCTCACCCAACTCCTCTCTTGCTTGTCTCGCTCCAGATCATCCACTTAAAGCGCTTCCAGTTTGTCAATGGCCGCTGGATAAAATCCCAAAAAATCGTCAAGTTTCCTCGTGAGAGCTTTGACCCAAGTGCCTTCCTCATGCCACGAGACCCGAGCTGCTGGCCGCCAAAGCTGCTGACGCCGCAGGCAGACGATCCCACGGAGCCCCTGATTCTGCCGGAGGAGTGCCGGAGGACGGAGCCACGGAGCGGCACGGTGGCTGGAGAAGGCGACGTCCTCACCCGGAGCCCTTCTTCTCTCAACACTTCGGGCATCTTAAATAATATTAGAGGTAGGAGTCTGGGGTCTTATCCCAGTGGGCGTCAGAACAAGAGTTGCTTGGTCCCTTATTGGCAAGGGATCCTCAAGAAGTCCTTGACTTACGACCATTTCGATTGCTAAACAAGTCAGTCGTTAAGTGAGTCTTGGATGCAGGTAAGCGCATGCAGAGGCTCAGGGATGGCGAAAAATGGGCCTCCCGGGAGTTCAGGCAAATACACCCACTGTGGTGAAGCAGGCCAACTAGGCCACGCCCATCATGGCCACGCCTACCCAGCAACCAGGCAGAGAACCTTTACTAACATTTCTGGGAGCGATGTATCTTTTATAAAATTTAAATTCCAAGATACCTTAGTTGTTGCTTCTTATCCCGGTCAGCCAAAACTTTCACTTCTTAACTTCCTCCTGCACTTTCTTTTCCGGATGAGTGCTTCTTTGAGGCGGCCATTTCTGACCGCCGCTCTTACCGCCTTCGGGAAAGGGAGTTTAGCCAGCTGGGGAGGAAAGATGCGGCTTTCCTCGACCCTGCTGGAATCTCCCCCCTCTTCACCACCTCTACGGGGTGGCTTAGCCCCGAAGCCAGCTGGCTCGGGACGCTCCAGCGGCTAGCCCAGGCAGAAACAGCGCACGATCGCGGATTCCTGCCTGCCCCCGAAGCCCTGCAAACCGGAAGTCCCACCTTTACTAACATTTCTGAAGCCCATCCCTGTGTGTTTCCCTACGTTGAAAGGAGCCACACGATCTCCAAAGGTCCCCAAGGAGACCAGAGGGAGGGGAGAGCACGCCGCAAGCCAATTCCCGTCTCTCCATCCATCAATCCATCCTTGTCAGCCCCACTCAGGACATTAAAGATCTCTTTTGAAATCTCAGGACATCCATTCCACAGGGAAGCTAAAACTGCTTTTTACGGAAATTTAACTATAATAATAACAGAATCTTGCAGATCTGAAGGTGCTCCCCCCCTATACCGCAGTGAATTAAGGAGGTGTCTATCGGAACCATTTCCACACGTTATCTGAACATTCTGGGTTTAAAAAAATGTTTCAACCTGTTTTGCTTATGCAACTGATGCTGCATATCTCTGACAGCATCGTCTTCCTTACTCTCTACCTACCTATCTATCTGATAAACACTTCATTTTTCTTCTGGGCACTCAAGATAATCTAGGAGAGCCAGTTTGACCTAGTGGTTAAGGCACCAGGCTGGAAAGTTCAAGTAAGTTCTAGTATGTTCTCTAGTTCCAGTGATTGTAAATTCTAGTCCCACCTTTGCCATGAAACCAGCTTTGAGCCAATCACCAGGAGACTGTGAGTTGTAGTCCAGTCTTAGGTATGAAAGCCAGTCCTTTGCTATGGAAACCAGCTGGCTGACTGGGCCAATCACCAGGAGACTGTGAGTTGTAGTCCAGTCTTAGGTATGAAAGCCAGTCCTTTGCTATGGAAACCAGCTGGCTGACTGGGCCAATCACCAGGAGACTGTGAGTTCTAGTCCAGTCTTAGGTATGAAAGCCAGCTGGCTGACTTTGAGCCAATCACCAGGAGACAGTGAGTTCTAGTCCAGCCTTAGGCATGAAAGCCAGTCCTTTGCTATGGAAACCAGCTGGCTGACTGGGCCAATCACCAGGAGACAGTGAGTTCTAGTCCAACCTTAGGCCTGAAAGCCACCTGGCTGACTGGGCCAGTCACCAGGAGATTGTGAGTTCTAGTCCTGCCTTTACTATGAAAGCCAGCTAGGTGACCTTGGGACAGTCACTCTCTCAGCCCAGTCCACTTCACAGGGTTCTTCTTGTGAGGAAAATAGGAGGAGTAAGGTATGTTGGATATGTTCTCAGCTTGGAATTATTTGTAAAAATAATAAAAGGCAGGGTATAAAAATACCTCCAGGTATTCCTTTTTCTCTACTACAATCCTGCGAGGTAGCTTCAGATCAGAGAAAGTTTGGGGTGTGTGTGGTTTTTTTTTGAAGAATAATCTAAACCTTACCTAATAAGTTGTTGCTGCTTGTTATCAAGGCGAGAAGGATTGATTTATTTCAGAGTTTCTCAACCTTGGCTAATTTCTGAGGTGTGGACTTCAACTCCCAGAATTCCCCAGCCAGCATGGCTGGCTGAGGAATTCTGGGAGTTGAAGTCCACACCTCTTGAGAGTAGGTTGAAAAACACCAATTCATCCACAAAGCACTCACCCGTCTCTTTCTTTCCAGCATCGCCGTCCTCCGCGAGGAAGTGCCCATCAGGCTCTTCGACCAGTAAAAACCTTAGCCCCACCAGTAGCCCCAGGACTATGGGCAGAAGTAAGGGGCGCCTTCGTCTCCCCCAGCTCTGCAAAAACAAACTGTCGAGCAGCAAAGAGAACCTGGACACGAGTCGAGAGAACGGTACCCAGCCAGATCCAAAGGCCCCATTGGACTCTCCGGGCAGGGAGCAGCAAAAGTTGGGGGATGGTTCAGGAGAGCCGGTGGTTGCTCAGGACAATGAGGGGCAACTCACCAACGGATACCTTTGCAAGCTCAGCTCCTCCAGCAACCACAGTCTCAACGGTCTCCTGGAAGCCCGCCGGGAAGAGGAACTGGCGGAGGACCAAAGAGGAGAAATCTGTATTAATCCTATTTATAACTTATATGCAATTTCGGTAGGTGTCCAATGGCCATCTGGGTTGAAAGCTTGATGGGGTTTTTTCCCCCCAGCTCAAATTACGGCTGACCCATTGCATGAAAGGCCCGGAGGGGTCCACTTAAACCATCCCAAAGGGAAGAGCGGAAGGAGGGTCCCACAGTGTCTATCCAGGCTTAAATCACCTGAATTACAGGTAGTCCTCGACGTACGACCACAATTGAGCCCAAAATTTCTGTTGCCGTCTGGCCAGAAGATGGATAGTTGTCTGCCACATCTATTCATCTCCGCCCCCTGCCTTTTATCCCCAGAGCTAGAGGGGGGGCTTTGCTAGCAGTGGGGGCTCTTCTATCCCGAGGACCGGCCCATAGATTTCCACTGCTCTCCTCTCCTCTGCCTTCTGTGCATCTGCATGTCAGGCACTGGATCCAGCTGTTCCTCCTCTTCCTCATCAGCCACCTGCAGACCTGGAGGGCTGTTGACTCTCCATCTGGGGGCTCACGGGCGGCCCAGACTCCGCCTCTGTCTCTCTCTCTCTCTCTCTGCCGGCTCCATTCCTTCTTCCCTCTTGGAGTTCTCAGGTTGCCCTGATGCTGACCCTGACTTCCACGCCTCCTCCTCCTCCTCTGGTTTGGCTGCTGGAGGGGCCAGCAGACAACAGGCCACAAGAAGTTGTTCAAAGAGCTTTGCCCTATTTTACCACCTCTCTTGCCACAGATGCTCGGTGAATCACCGCAGTTGTTAAGTTAGTAACACCGTTGTTAAGTGAACCTGGCTTCCCCCATTGACTCTGGGGGTGTTGCAACGGTCGTAAATCCGATCATAACCCACTTTTTTCACTGCCTTTGTAACTTCGGATGGTCCCTAAATGAATGGTTATAAGTCGAAAACTATCTTTATTCCCTTGGAAGGGGGGGGGGGAAATCCGTACCATCACCATCTTGGATTTTCGCTTCCCTCACAAAGTCTTCTCCAGCATTGCTCAGCTGCTGGAAGACAGAATGCCAGAATAACAGATTTGGAAGGAACCTTGTAGGTCATCTAGTCCAACCCCCCGCCCAAGCAGGTGGGCCTACCCCATTTCTGACAGATGGCAGTCCAGTCTCTTCTTGAAAGCTTCCAGTGACAAAGCTCCCACAACTTCCAAAGGCAACGTCTGTTCCATGGATTGATTGTTCTCACTGTCAGAAAATTTCTCCTTATTTCTAGGCTGAATCTGTCCTTGATCAGCTTCCATCCATTATTCCTTGTCTGGCCTTCGGGTGCTTTAGAAAATAGCTTGACCCCTTCCTCCTCTCTGTGGCAGCCCCTCAAATATTGGAAGACCGCTATCCTGTCTCTCCTGGTCCTTCTCTTCCCTAGACTAGCCATGCCCAGTTCCTGCAACCGTTCTTCATACGTTTTAGTCTCCAGCCCTCTAATTCTTTGTTGCTCTTCTCCGTACTCTTTCTAGAGTCTCAACATCTTTTTTTATAACGTGGTGACCAAAACTGGATATATTCTAGGTGTGGCCTTCCTAAGGCTTTACAGAGTGGAATTAGTACCTAGAAAGATTGAGGAATAGAAGAAGGGGACGGCAAAGAAGGAGGTGGCTGGATGGAGCCGCTGAAGCAGCCGGCATGAGCTTAAATCAGGGGTGTCCAACCTTGGCCATTTTAAGACTTGTGGACTTCAACTCCCAGAGTTCCTCAGCCAGCAAAGCTGGCTGAGGAACTCTGGGAGTTAAAGTCCACCAGTCTTAAAATGGCCAAGGTTGGACACCCCTGGCTTAAATGGACTCCAGAAGATGGTAGAGGACAGAAAGGCCTGGAGGAACGTTGTCCATGGGGTCGCGATGGGTCGGACACGACTTCGCAACTAACAACAACAACATTAGTACCTCACATGATATTGATTCAATCCCTCTGTTAATGCAGTTTAGGATTGCATTGGCTTCTTCACTGCCACCGCTCACTGTTAGCTCATATTTCATGGATTGTCTTCTTTTTTTTTTTTTTAAATATAGTTTATTAATTTTTACAATTAAAACCAGTCACAATACATACACAAATAAGCAAAAGAAAGAAAGAAAAAAAGAAAGAAGAAAGAAGAGGAAGAGAGGGAAAGAATTTTGAGAAAAGAAAGAAAGAAAGAGGTTACAGGATTAAAAGTATTCTTATTTTAACAGTTTGCAAGATCTTCTTTTGTTTTCATCACCTTAACTTGTGTCATATAACCACACCTGTTTTTAACTTATATCGTTACCTCGTTATTATGTATTGATACTTTTCTTTTATGCCTTATAATATATTATTTAACTTTGGTCAATCCAATTATACCAACAATTCCAGCTATCATAGTATAGTGAAGTGTCTTTGTTTTTTAGCGCCAAAGTCAATTTATGGATAAATGGATAAATTGACATGGATTGTCTTCTAAGACCATCTCCCTGAACCTTCTTGCTCAATAATGGGCCATCCATTGCCTACTGGTGAGAGGGGTTTGTTGAAGGCTACTGGCTCTTGAGGAGCCTTTGACAGGCATAAAAGTGAGAAGACACAACGTCTGTGGAGATTCTCAATCATCCAGGACACGTTTGTCCTAAAGGCACTTTCCAAGGGAGGTTCCTTGAAAACTTTTCGCTTCTCATCTAACAACTGAAGCAGCTTCTTGGATGGGAAGCGAAATGTCTTCAAAGGAAAAAAACAAACAAACCAAGAAAATCCAATTGCCTTTTGGGAAAAGCACTTTTGAGAAGATACCTCCTTCTAAAATGGCATCTCCACCGCACCACGTTAATTCCCCTTTTCCTCTAGCAGAAAGGAAAGGATGGAGGACTTTTAAATCAATGGATAACCTTGGTGTCTTGGCTCTCTTCTCTTCCAGTGCCATTCAGGAATAATGGGAGGAGGTCATTATGTCACCTATGCCAAAAACCCAAACGACAAATGGTACTGTTACAACGACAGCAGCTGTAAGGTAAGCCATTTTGCGGCGCTTAAAGGAGAAAGACCTAAAAGCTGCTAACAAGAGCTTCCATTACATAGGAACCTCTCTGTGCCCTGAAGTGAGTCGCCGTGATTTCAGGACATTGGATACTAACACGGTTTACTTTTGGCCCACCTGTATGACAGCAGCCTCTTTCTGGGTGTCCATCAGTGGCGGGATTCAATTTTTTTTAATGCTAGGTCTGTGGGTGTGGCTTGGTGGGCGTGGCATGGCTTGGTGCGCATGGTAGGGGAAGGATAGTGCAAAATCCCCATTCCCTCCCCATCCCAGCCCACTAACCTGCTTTCCAGCTCCGTCCTCCTATGCAGGGCAACCCAAGAAGACCCAGCCGATCAGCTGGGACTTGAGAGGCAGAGAATAGATGGGGGCGGGGCCAGTCAAAGGTGGGATTTGCTGGTTCTCCAAACTACTCCAAATTTCCACTACCGGTTCTCCAGAACCGGTCAGAACCGGCTGAGTGCCACCTCTGGTGCCCATCAATTGTCTGTCTCAGGAGACCTTGAGGCAGATGAGGTTCTCTTCCACTTGCGTTGCTCCATTTTGAAAATTGGCGGTGGCCCCTTGGGGATTCGAGACATGTAGGTCTCTAGACCAGGAGTGGAGACTGATGGCTCTTGTAGGACTTCTGGAGTTCAACTCCCAGAATTCCGAAGCCAGCATGGCTGGCTCAGGAATTCTGGGAGTTGAAGTCCACAAGTCATAAAGGGACCGTCGTTCCCCACCTCTGGTTTAAATTGTCCTGTCCTAGAGAGTCCTGTGGTAATAAGCCACCGGATATTTGTTGCCTTTATAAGGAAACTTCAGATCGCTTAACTAGGTCCTGGCATTCTTCCAGAAGATGCATCGGTGTCTTTTACTGCATTCTACCATTTTCCAAAGTTTCCAACAGGATTTGTTTGTTTATATCCCATCTTTAAAAGGGGTGGCTCAGGGGCTAAGACGCTGAGCTTGTCAGAAAGGTCGGCAGTTTGGCGGTTCGAATCCCTAGCGCCACGTAACGGAGTGAGCTCCCGTTACTTGTCCCAGCTTCTGCCGAGCTTAACAGTTTGAAAGCATGTAAGAAAAGTGCAAGTAGAAAAATAAGGACCACCTTTGGTGGGGAAGGTAACAGCCTTCCGTGCGCCTTCAGATGTTTATTCATGCCGGCCATATGACCACGGAGACATCTTCGGACAGCGTTGGCTCTTCTTCGGCTTTGAAACGGAGATGAGCACCGCCCCGCTAGAGCCGGAAACAACTAGCACAGATTTTTACCTTATCCCATCTTTATTTTTATTTTTTTACAAGTAATTCAAAGCGATGAACATGTGCAACACACACCTTCCCCCTCCTATTTTCCCCACAACGGCAACCCTGTTAGGTGAGTTGGACTGAGAGGGAAGGACTGGCTCAAAAGTCATCCAGCCGGCTTTCATGTCTAAGGCAGGATTAGAAACATGTCTAAGGTGGGATTAGAATTCATTGTCTCCTGGCGATTAGCCCAAAGTCACCAGGTTTCATACCTAAGGTGCAGTGGTGGGATTCAAATTTTTTTACTACCAGATCTGTGGGTGTGGCTTGGTGGGTGTGGCAGGGGAAGGATACTGTAAAGTCTCCAGTCAGAGGTAGCATTTGCCGGTTCTCCGAACTACTCAAAATTTCCGCTACCGGTTCTCCAGAACTGGTCAGAACCTGCTGAATACCCACCTCTGCTAATGTGGGACTAGAACTCACCGTTGCCTGGTCATTGACCCAAAGTCACCCAGCTGATTTACATGGCTAAGGCAGGACGAACCCACCATCTCCTGGTCATTGGCTCAAAGTCACCCAGCATCTAAGGTTGGAGTAGAACTCATGGTATCCTAAGCGCTGGTGCCTTAGCCGCTAGACTAAAGTTGCCATTTCCTGCGGTGTCCTTACAGTAAGCTGCTATACCAGCCTCCCTGATCCCAAACAATCTCCAGTAATATTAGGACAAGAGTTTTCAGGAGTTTTCAGTATTTTGTACATTTAAAAATGTTGAAGTAATATTGTATTCTTTCAAGAGAGTGGTACTAGAGGGGGAGCTCTCGCCTCACAATCAGGAGGCTGTGAGTTCAATCCTAGGTAGCGACAGATGTTTCTCTCTCTGGCCACAATGAGTAAATATCAGCTGCGAACTCTGCATTGGTGACAGGAGGAGCGTCTGGCCAGTAAGCACTCAGCTCCATTCAGTTGCTCCGACTCCACCCTGATGCAAGGGATTACAGGGTCATTAAAAGATTTAAAAAATGTATAATTTTGACAGCTGTTCCCTAATAAGCACCTCTTCTTTTCCTCCTCCTCCTCCTCCTCCTCCTCCATCATCATTCAGGAATTGCATCCTGATGAAATCGACACAGATTCTGCCTACATCCTTTTCTACGAACAGCAAGGAGTGGACTATGCACAGTTTTTGCCAAAGATTGAGGGCAAGAATATGGCGGATACCAGTAGCATGGATGAAGATTTTGAGTCCGATTACAAAAAGTACTGTGTCTTGCAATGAGCAAAACGGGTTTTGTAAAGGTTAGTCCGAGGAGATTGCATCACAAGGCTGGCAACAAAAGAGAACAAAAGGAAATACGGTTTTAACTGAGCAGAAGAGCTAGATGTAGTTTTTATTTTTTATTTTAATTTATTTTTAATTTTCCTCCTGTGACCGGAAAGCACAACTAAAGAAAAACATAATAAAAAAAAATAGCAGGGGGAGAAAGAGAAACTCTAATTAAAATGAGCATTTATCAGGTGGCATTTGCTTTGGTTTCCCATCTCTTGCTCCATGCCCAGAGGGTGGGGGAACACCCATTGGTTAAACTGTTTTATTTTGCCTTCAGCCTTTAAACTGGCTTGACCTCAGCAAACTAAAGACTAGGTGCATTTAAAATTTTAGAAAGGTAATCCAGCGAAGAGGCAGAATAACCGTAGTCTGATCGTTCCTTTGACCAATTTGCTCTTAGAGACGTCTGAAGTAAGTTGGGGTTGGGGAAAGAAATGACTTTTGGGAAAGCTCTCTTCCAATTGTTGCTAATGATTAACTTGTAGTGTTGTCTTGACAACATGAAATTTCTACCTCCTTTTTCTGAAGTTTTATTCCATGTCTGCGAGGAGAAGAGGCACACGCAGACGGCAGGCACAAGCTGCAGAAAATTCCTGCAAACTTTCCCTGCTGTTCATTTTCTCTCACTTGATGTATTCATTAGCAGTTCCTTTCCATCGCCTTAAGAATAAAGTTTCCTCTCTTTTTTTTGACCTTGTGGAATTGTTCCAACCCCTTTGGCTTTCAGAGAGGTTCCAGAGCAGCTCCAGCAGCCTTTTGGCGCTTGAAATGGCTGGAGATCTGGAAACTGAGGCAGCTCCAGGCTGTTGCTGGGGGCAGTGAGTGGGCTAATTATTTGTATTCATCTCCACTTTGGATGGATTGGGGTGTTCTAGGAGCCAAGTGTTTCTCTGTGTACTAGGGGGTACTTGGGTAAGAAACCTGCTCTGGTTGTGAAAATATTTTGCCATTGTGGTTACCCTGTCCCCTCAACTTACAACTTTCATTCAAAAGAAGCTAGTTCCTGATTTTTTTGGTGTATTGATCTGATCACTCTTGAGAATGGGAAAGTCAAATCAGGAATCTGTTCCCCAACTCAACCCAACCCAATGCAACTCAACCCAACCCAATGCAACTTAACCAACCCAACTTAATGCAGCTCTACCCAACCCAAGTCAACCCAACTCAATGCAACTTAACTCAACCCAACCTGAAGCAACTCTATGCAACTCAACCCAACCTATTGCAACTCAATCTAATGATCCAACCCAATCCAATTCAATCCAACCCAGAGCAACTCAACCTAATTCAACCCAACCTTTAAATCCCAGAAACAATGGAGCCTGGTTGAGTGTTTGAGCCAACAGTGTGTCAGTGATGGCTGATGGGAAATGTGTACCCAAAGGAGGACTATAGGCAGGGAGGGGTCAAAAAGTTCAAGATGGAGTCGGTGACTATAATCAAAATTTTACCCCCCCCTTTTTTTTTACTTGTGTCACGCGTGCAGGAGATGGATGGGGCTTCAGAAGGGCAGTGACAGCCGCCATCTTGATTTTTAGGACCCCCCCCTCCCCCAAGTAGCCGCCCCTCACAATGGAGATGGAGATGTACAAGGTTAACAGCCTCTTCTTTCGCACTCCTAGCACCAATCCTTCATTTGTGGTAGACCTTTTGAAAGGAGAGAGTCCTCACAAATATTGTTCTCTCTTCCTTCATTGGAGGGAGTGCCAGTCATGGTTTTTTTTAATTATTTGCACTTTAAAAATAATGATAAAAACATAGCAGAGTTCATTTTTCAGTGCTTTTGGGATAGCTGTGTGCATGCTTGGGTGTGTGTGTCCTTTCCATTCCTTTTTCTTTCGAAAAGCAACGTGAACATGTCTGAAGGATGACCATCAGCGATGGAGAGGTTGTCCGTTCTACCACCCAATAGGCTATCCTTTTGGCCAGCCAACCTTGTCCCCGGAAGGAATATTAATACTTCAAACCCACTTCAAGCATATTGTGGTGTTTAACCATCTCTTGATGGTGATTCCCCTTTATCTGTTCTTGCAGGTCAGCCAGAGTCAAAGCAGAGCAGTGAGATAAATCTTGTAGGTCAGCCAAAGTCAGAGCAGAGCAGTGAGGCGGGTGGCTGCATAAATGTAATAATTAAATGAAAGAAGGAATTAAATTGGCAGCCATGTCCAGCTTCTTGAATGGAAATGGATTGAGAGAGCAGAATAATGAGGGAGCTACGGCAAATGTTCCCATTTTCAGATGAGCTAAAAATCATTTTGATTTGAAAATCCTTCCTACACCTGCATTGGTTAAGCCAAGCCCCAAATCAGACACACACCCCTCCTTATTCCAATCAGATGATGAAATAAGGTTGATCAGAGGTTAGGATAAATCATCATTTCTTCACAAACGAAGCCTCTGAATCAGCTCTTAGTAATACAGTGAGATTTTAAAAGGGCAGCAAAGGTGAGTTTTGCTACTAATTTGGAAATCTATAGCATGGAGGACTATCTCAGCCTTCCACGGTTCTTTGAACTGCTCCTGTCAATCCTTCCCTTACTGAGAACCTGACAAAAATCCACATGATTTCTTTCGGCTAATTTCCCTGTCGTTCCCTCATTCCCCCCACAAAGCAAAACCGCTTAGATTTTGTCTGCGTCAGGCTATCTTCTTCCAACTGCAGTTTTTCTCAGAACACTTTTTTTTAAAACTCCCTTTTTTCCCCCTTTTCTGGCAGTTCCAGGGCATTGTGGCTTCGTCTAACCTCATATTAGAAACGAGGATTAGTGTTGAAGCTTGGCAAACATGGAGAAGGATTGCAGGGGTCAGGTGGACCTTAACATTTTAGCCTGCTCTTTGGTAGGTGTTTCTCAACTCTCAGAATTCCTTATCCGGACTGCTTTCAAATTGGCGGACTTTAACTCACCAGAATTCCCCAGCCAGTAAGCAACACAGATCTTAATTCACCCTGAGTGGGGAATTCTGGGCGTTAAAAGTCCACCCAATGTAAAACATGCTGGGCTGAGGGATTTTGGGAGTTGAAGTCCAAGGCACCAAGGTTGAGAAACACTGCCGGAGAACCCAACAGTTGACAGTTGCTCAGTCTTTTGACCAGTCTCCTTGAAACTACTTGCGTCCAAGCAACTCAGCCATGCACTGTGGAACTTAACCCATCCAAGTGATGTGGCACCATCATCCAGTGGTCGCTTGTGTTGGGGCCCTTTGTCACTTCCATTAGCGTGTGCATGTGTGTGAAAGTTGCAGATGGGGTTATTTCAAACCCAGATCTTCTGCTGGACCCACGGCAGAAGGTTAGGGCGTAACCTAAGGAGAAGCAGGACCTAGTAGTGTCTCTTAGCTTGCCATGCAAGATCAAACCACCATCATCTATAAAGTCCCATAATCCTTGACTGCGCTGATGAGGCCTGTGTAGTCCAGAGTAGCTCCTGAAAACCAACTTCCCACCACCAGTTCTCATGGGCGCCACCACTCAGTCGTGTGATTAATAGCGTGACGTTCCCCCTTTTGCCAAAAAACAAGCCAGCATCTTGTTGAACGCATCGTGTGATGCCTATCAGTCTGTGATGTAGCCAAATCCTGGGGGTGGGGAGAGATTTTAACAATGCATTGGCCCCTAATTGTCCATTTTCTTGACCACTCTGAGCATGGAGAAGATCCCTTCTTTAAAAACTCTCTCTCTTTGAAGATCCCTTCCACGTCGCTCTTCATCTCTTCGTTTCTTTTGGAAACAGTTTGGGTTTAAGTTCCAGCCCAGCATGATCCGCTCACCTCGTCTTTAATCTGCCATGCTTTGTTACATTGGTTGTAATGATTAATATATTTTTTTTAAGAAAAAAGGTTTAAATTAATTCCTAAATTTAATAGGAAAAACAAAATAAACGATTTAAGTTAACTGTTTAACTATATTTGCTCTGTAAATTATTGTATAAAACCTATTGACAATGCACTGAATTTAGAAAGGCTGTGTACATAAGTACTGTGTAAATAATTCAAAGGGGAAAAAACAAAGTATTAATGTATTGGGATATGAACTGTATTAAAAAAAAAGCAAGTCCAAGTAACTGTATATGGAGTGAACTTGTCTATCTGTAAGTATATTATTCAAGCAAATTAAATACTGTGGATGCAACTCAACTCTGTTGACCGATTCATCATTGGAAAATTTGAGGGGGCAGCTTCCATAAAAATTAAATTACTCAGTCAGTTTTGATAGGGAAATAACACCATGACGTGACCTTTCTCCTGGGTTATCCATTACCTGAAAAACAAATATTGTCATTCATTCATTCACTCACTCATCCATTCATTGAATTTAAGTACAGATAGTCCTCAACTTATGATCACAATTGAGCCCAATATTTCTGCTGCTAAGCAAGATTGTTGTAGAGTGAGTTTTGCCCCATTTTATGACTTTTCTTGGCACAGTTGTTAAATGAATCACTGCAGGTGTTAAGCTAGTTACACCATCGTTAAAACAAATTTGGCTTCCCCTCTTAACAAAGCACCTAAGGGCAGGACAAGAAGCAACGGGTGGAAACTAATCAAGGAGAGAAGCAAGTTAGAACTGAGGAGAAATTTACCGACAGTTACAACAATTAAACAGTGGAACAACTTGCCTCTAGAAGTTGTGAAAGCTCCAACACTGGGAGTATTTAAGAAGAGATTGGACAACCATTTGTCTGAAGTGGTATAGAGTTTCCTGCCTAGGCAGGGGGTTGGACTAGAAGACCTCCCAGGTCCCTTCCAACTCTGTTATTCTATTCTATTCTAACTTTACTTGTCAGGAGGTCACAAAAGGTGATCACATGATCCCTGGGACACGGCAACTGTCATAAAAAAAAGTGATCATGTGACCATGGGATTGCTACAACAGTTGTAAGTGTGAAAAAAAAATGTTCATAAGTCACTTTTTTCAATGCCGTTGTAACTTCGGTCACTAAACAAATGATTGTAAGTTGAGGACTATCTGTACCGTACTGCCAAAACTAGGCTAAAGGCAATTTTGGGCGGCTTGCAAACATTAAAAACGGTAGACGTTAAAATGACAGAACAGTAACAAACCATAAGAGTAAGTGTGGTTAAAAAGTACAGTATACTAAATGTTAACAAATGGTGATCCTAGGAATAAAAGTCTGGGTGTACTTAATTCCATTTATGAACTCTGCAGCCATCAGGTGGTGGCATTTGCTTCTAAATTCTTCCAAACTTCCAAAAAGTTTGCGGTTCGTTTCATGACATCTCCGGTTTCACTCTGTGGTTTCTTGACTTCTGGAATTTTTTTCCTTACAAATAAATAAAAAATAAATAAAAATAAGGAAAACGATGTTGCACATTTATTTACATTTAGAGAGTAATTCCAGGTGAGAGGTAGGTGATCTGTGGCTTCCTCACCTTAGGTAGTCCTCGACTTACCACAGTTCATTTAGTAACCATTCGAAGTTTCCATGGCACTGAAAAAAGTGACTGACGACCATTTTTCACACTTCGCAACAACCCTTTGCGGCCTCCCAATGGTCCCCTGCTTTTCAGAGGCTGCGCAACAGCATAGCTGTCTTGTGCAGGGCCCCCACAAGAGCACATCTGGTTATCAGGCAGCCCCCCCCCCCAAAGTCACACGAGAATGGGCCATGCTTTCAAGAATTGCTGTCAGGTGTTGGTGAACCCTGCCACATCAACCCAAAACCTCCACGGCATGTTACCTTTGACACATAGGTCATATATTTGTCATCACTGATCTAACAGGAAAACCAATGCGAGAAGATTCTTCTAAGAAACTCTTTAAAATGGAGGAGAAATAGAAGAAAAGAGAAAAATGGAATGGAATAGAGAAGAAAAGAGAAAAAATTGGATTGGAATAGAATAGAATAGAATAGCAATTAGAATAGAATAGAAAATATAATAGAAAATGGAATAGAATAGAATAGAATAGAATAGAATAGAATAGAATAGAATAGAATAGAATAGAATAGCAATTAGAATAGCAATTAGAATAGAATAGAAAATATAATAGAGAATGGAATGGAATAGAATAGAATAGAATAGAATAGAAAATATGGAATAGAAAAGAACAGAGTAGAGTAGAACAAAATAGAACAGAAACAATGAAATCTTTTAACCCTTTGTGCGGTGGAGTCTGGGCAACTGAATGGAGCTAGCAGAGTGTTTCATGGCCGGATGCCCTTCCTGTCACCAGTGTGGAGTTTTGTTCAATAGATATATTCTCATTGTGCCCAGAGAGAAATATCTGCCTCTAGCTAGGATGGAACTCACAGTCTCCTGGTTGTGAGACGAGAGCTCCACCTCTAGGCCACTGCACCATTCCAAAAAAATGGAATAGAATAGAATGGAATATTTGGTCAAGTGTGATTAGATACACAAGAAATTTGTCTCTGGTGCAGAAGCTCAGACAGAGTACATGCCAAGCAACTGAGTAATAATCATAATGATATTACCAATAAGAGGGGATAGTAAGATAAGAAGGATAATAATAATGGTACAACCGTATAACATGGGTAAATGTACACAGACATTAGAGCTGGAATGGCTGCAGAAACAACTTGTTGAGAATATAAACCTCAAGGAAAATATATAAAAAACATCCGTGAGGATGTCCTGGGGGTCATAAGTGTGAGGATAGGTCCTGTCACTTTTTTCGGTGCCGTTGTAACTTCAACCAGTCGCTCAACAAATGGTCATAAATCGAGGACTACCTGTAAGCGAGGAAGTTTGCAAAGGTGCATTTTCAAGAATCAACTGGACTTTCTGTTTTTTTTCTTTGAAGACATTTCGCTTCTCATCCAAGAAGCTTCTTCAGTTCTGGAGGGATGGTAGAATGGAAATGGAAGGATTTATATTCCTTGCAGGCAGCTGGTCATTTGCATCCTTTTCGAGCGTCATTGAGGCCACTTGGAGTCCCAAAGGTGCTTTTTCAAGGAGGCAACTGGACCTTCTGGTTTTTCTTTGAAGACGTTTCGCTTCCCATCCAAGAAGCTTCTTCCGCTCTGACTGGATAGTGAAACGTCTTCAAAGAAAAACCAAAGAAGTCCAGTTGCCTCCTGAAAAAGCACCTTTGGGACTCCAAGTGGCCTCAATGACGCTCGAAAAGGATGCAAATGACCAGCCACGACCAGGATGACGGAGAATCTCTAAGACTTTGGAGCTATACAATTTGGGAATGAACGCCCTTTGAATGGTTGTGGGAGTAGGAATGGATTTCCAGAGGAAGAATGGCAGACTACAGGAACCAGGAGCTCTACTCGGGCGACCCCGAGGACACAGAGAAACCTTCCAAGTGGCTTCAACAACCCTCTAAAAAGGATGCAAATGACCAGCTGTCTGAAAGGAATCTAAATCCTTCCATGCCCCACCATCCGGTCAGAGCTGAAGAAGCTTCTTGGAGGAGAAGCAAAACGTCTTCAGAGAAATGTCTACGGAGATGCTTAGTCCTCCAGGCCACGGTTGCCCAAAAGTGCTTTTTTTTTTACCTCAAGAGGCAACTGGACTTTCTGGTTTCGCTTTGAAGCCGTTTCACTTCTCCTCAGGGGTGGGGCCATTGGGGGGCTTTGGGAGAGCCCCTAACTAAGATTCTGTGGAGTTTGGAGAACCCCCAAATTTCACTCCTGGCTGATCCCGCACCCTCTTCCCCCCCCCCCAGGAGTCCCCATGCAACCTGTTTTGGAGGCAGGTAAGCGTAGGGCGCGTGCTGAGGCTTGGGGAGGATAAATATGGGCCTCCCGGAAGTTCAAGAAAGCCAGAAATTGGTTCGTTTCCGGCTTCCAGAGAACCTCCAGAGCCCCAGAGAGGCTATTTTCACCCTCCCGGAGGCTCGAAAAAAAGTCTCTGGAGCCCGGGGAGGGCAAAAACACCACCCTCACCCCCACCATGGTGCAAGAGGCTGACTAGGCCACACCCACCATGGCCACGCCCACCCAGCAACCGGGCAGAGGACCCTTTGCTAAAAAAAATTGAAGCCCACTCCTGCTTCTCCTCCCAACAAGCTTCTTCAGCTCTCGTTCTGAGGGTGGGGGATGGAAGGATTTTATATTCCTTCCATTGGTCATTTGCATCCTTTTAGACGGTCATTGAGGCCACTAGGAGGTTTATCTGTATCCTCAGGTCTTTTGAAGAGGTTTCGCTTCTCATCCAAGAAGCTTCTTCAGTTCTAGACTTGGATGGTGGGGGATGGAAGGATTTTATATTCCTTCCGTTGGTCATTTGCATCCTTTTAGACGGTCATTGAGGCCACTAGGAGGTTTATCTGTATCCTCAGGTCTTTTGAAGAGGTTTTACTTCTCATCCAAGAAGCTTCTTCAGTTCTAGACTTGGATGGTGGGGAATGGAAGGATTGATATTCCTTGCAGACAGCTGGTCATTTGCATCCTTTTCGAGCGTCATTGAGGCCACTAGGAGGTTTATCTGTGTCCTCAGCATCACCTGAGTGATCCAAATGGGTGTGGAGCCTTTTTGGAACTGTTGAAAGGACTGCAATCTAAAACACAACCCTTTCAACGGTTCCAAGAAGGCTCCACACCCATTTGGACCATTCAGGTGACCCAGATCTTCAAAGAAAAACCAGAAAGTCCAGTTGGCTCTTGGACAACCATGACCTGGATGACTGAGAATCTTTACAGACTTTCACAAAGGCTACTAAAAGCATCAACCCAGCAAAGGTTTCCTCAGATGCCTTCAAAATAAAGGCAAGAGAAGATTCCGTATGTAGATATTGTGCGGACAGCAAAAATGCTAGTAGGGAAGAAAGGGAAGAAACAGTTCAATTCCTGTTTTAGCTTAGGCTCTCAAACAAGGCACATGTCCCACCCAATAATTGTATAAACCCTGCTGAAGAAACTTGAGTTTGATGGAAACACAGTCAGGGGATTCCTTCTGATCTCAAATGAGCTCACATCTCCAGAATCAGATGGGAGATTTTGTAGGAAACATCTGTGCAAACAACGGCACAGATTGCATCTAGATGTTAGAAGTTAACTTCCTTAGGGTAAGAACAAAAACAAAACCAAGGAGATATAAATATCTATATTAATCCAATGTGTAATTAAGCTTTGGAATTTGCTACCGGTACCATGAAATGTGAGACCAACTACTAACTTGGCTGGTTTCAAAATAA